GTTGATTTATTTTTGCACAAACAATGGCAATTACTCGGCAGGTTGCTACACGACAGTCCGGCCGTTGTTTTCGACGCACGACAGGATGGTGTGAGGACAGTGACTCGTGCGGGATTATAGGGAGAGTTGACTTACGCTGCATCCACCTTACGCTCTGTTCTACTCCCCCACCTGTATCTAAGGTCAGGACAGAGTCAAGAAGATCGGAAATGCGGGAGGGCGCAGACGGCCGGTGCGACAAACACTCAACACGCGTATTAAATAGCACGTCTCGCTAGGCAGGCTTCCACACACGGACAGCCACTACACACAACAAGATACATTGGACTGACTGTGGTGTCCAAGGGTTTACCTCACTCTCTCCCCCACTGCCTAGCTATCAGCCGCCTGAGGTGGGATAAGCGCAGAGCTGAAAAGGAAAACAAATCCGACCGCCACAGACAAAAACACAATAGCAAGGGGGAGATGGCTCGAGTCCCGCCTAAATGGGAGTGGCATAAAGCCCACACTAAGAAGGAGCCATTGCAGACTGACTCCCCGTCCGCCAATCAGCCATGCCGCTCACACGCACACATAGGTTGCCCACGCGGTCCCAATAACCTTCTCAGTTGATTGCCTTCCAAGCCAAGTCAGGTTGTTTGTGGTGAGGGAGTTTGCTGGGCTGTCGATCTAACTCTCTACCTAGCATTAGGCTACCGCCTAATGGCGTCAAAACAGTAAGCACAAACAGTGTTTAAATATACAGTATGGCAAGCAACATTCCGCAAGTTGAAAAAGACCGGTAATCACTCGCACACAACCATTGAGTAAGGTTGCAATACTGTTTATCATACAGTTCGATTTCAATTCTTTTCAGTCATGCTAGGATGTCGACTCTGTGATAAGCTTCTTTCTGACTGCTGCGAAAAAGTTGATTCTGTCGATAATGGCTACTTAAATAGTATGAATTTTTATCATTTATTTTGACTCCTTTATAAATTCAAAAATATCATATGGAAAGCATGCACGAAAAATTTTTCCTTGTATTTATTTGATAGAAAATGACGCTTTCTTTAAATTTTCTTCTTAAAGGGAGGGTTTCCTTCGGTTTTAAAAATGTCTAATTTTGAGTTTTCTTACGACTGTGCGGTGTTCATTCATAAAACATCGTATCCGTCAATTTATTAATACTGTCCCTGATATATACAGCATGATCTATGTCTATTGCGAAATTATATGAGAGCTATGCAAACACTTCCCCAAACCGTAGGCAAGGACGTATTTTTCCTTAAACGGGATGAACACAACATACAGTTTGTAAAACTTGAATTCAGTTCTAGCAGTCGGTATGTTTAAAAATCAGTCGGCAGTTTAGAAACTTTTTTTAAAACCGAAGAAAACCTTTTCCGTTTTATTGTCCTAATCTTTCAAAAGCGCGCAGGCTTCCGCCATCAGAGGTTGGAGTTGCATCACGCCCCATAGTATTTAAAAGTGTATATATGCATACAGTACATTACTTATCTGATGAAAGGTTGGGGATTGAAGGATTTAACGCACACTTGAGGTAGTTTATTTAGTTGATTGGGTTGACTTGAGGCGCAAAATTTTGTTTATTTGAATTTAATTCCGTTCAAATCAGAATACTGTGAGAAAAAAAGGCAAAAATGGGCGAAATCCAGCGTTTGTTGATATCCGAGGAATTTCCTAT